ATCTATTCTAGTAAGGAAGACATATTTTACGGACCTGTGATAGTAGCGAGATGAGAGCGAATTCAGAGCCTGAAGTCTGCCTTTTTTGCCCTAATCTAAGGCGTTGAGGTCACCTTTGGCCGACACCAAATAGGACGCTTTTGTTGCTAAAGTGAAAGCTAACACACACGCGTGGTTTCCTAACGAAAGCCACTTTAGGAAGGCTAAGTTGGTGAGGGTTGATGCGATATTCATATGCAAAAAGATGGCTCCGGCGCCAATGCCTTTGGCCAGGCAGATGACGGGAGCCCTCTTCATACCAGAGTAGACGGTCCAATGGTGTCGAACTGCCAGAGTTATCCAGGCGCAAAGCATGACAATCAGAAGAGTGGCCAGAAAGGCCAGGCTGACAACCTGCCAGGCCAACGGGTTGTCGGTTTCTTGTCTATACGACATTGCACCAAGTACGCAGAAATGTACGCCAAAATAGGTGATCGGAGTGACCACAGCCAGACAGACGAGGTCCGTGACCAGATGACGCCGTGTCAATCGCGACGCCAGCCAGGTTCTCAGAGCACTGGCGCGTCTACGAGCCGCTTCTATGGCGACTAGAGTGGCGCGCCGGAGACCTCCAGACGTTTCGTGGGCATGACGGTGTGACGGCGTCAGTACGTAGACGTAGCCACAAATCTCGCATTTGTTGACTCGCGTCGTCAAAAGCCATCGCTCGAGGCAGTCACGATGCAAAAGGCCGAGGGTGCCCTTGCAGCGACAGGGTGAGAAGAGGCTGGAGGCCTGATCCGGAGCCGCCAGGTCTCCGGGACTGCCCTCCTCAAGGCAGATGCGACAGCGGAAGAGACAGCTCTCGCGACCCTTCGCCTCGTCTGCCTCGGATGCTGCCTTCCGTCCTGCCGGACTCGCATCGTCCGCCTTGGCGGTCTCTTCGAGCCCGACTCGCGGCAACAGAGCCTCCGACTGGCAGGAGTTGGGGCTGAGGCTGAGTCGGGGCGCACCGATGCGAGCTGTACGGATGAGCTCTTCCGGGTCGACTGGTCCTCGGACGTCGAATCGCAGGCTCTGGCGCGGCTGTACTGGCGCGCCAGCCGCCAGCTGGCCACGATAGCTCGGCTCCACGACCTCGGAGGCGGCGTCAAGGGCGGTGGAGAGACGCAGACTCTCGCGTCGAGTGAACAACACGGCCTGACTGCTCGGCTTGAGGAGGGCGCGAGGAGCGTCGGGCACTCGATCCGGGACTCGGTCATGGCCGCGGAAGAGGGCCGTTGGCCGTCGGCGGGCTCGGCGTGGCGCCGGAGAGGCCAGATACACTTCTCGGGAGCTGTTGCGTCGGAAGAGGCTATGTCGTGTCCTCGTCTGTACGTGAGGCATCATCGCTTCTTCCTCCCTCGCCGCTTCTCTGGACGTCGCCATCTCAGGCTCCCCAGCTTCCCTGGCCCCATCGAACGAGGTGGTACCCTCCAACTCGACTGACGGGCTTTCGGACGGACAGGTGATGGATCGGCGGCCCGCGAGCGCGTGCGACGACGTCTGCAGGGGACTCGAGGGCATTTCCACTTCACCGGCCTCAGCGATCCTGGGGTCGTCTGAATTTCGGGATACTGTTGACCAAAGAATGAAGTGACCCAACTGCCGCCCTATCCCGCATGTGGTATTGGGCAACTGGACAACCGGGCGACTGGACAGTTGGACGACGATGCTACCAACAGATCAAAAATGCGCTTCCACGTGGCCGAATGAACATGAGCAGCAACAAGTGAGGCTGAGAAATAATCACTCTTTCCTTTCGACCTTGGTCAAGGAGAGAGCTGAGCTCTTCACACCGAGACGGGCTACTGTGAGTAATCCGGATAGGATTTCTCTGCAATCCACTGCTCGACTGTGAACAGTGAGTTTAGTTGTTATGATTATCGACGCTCGACGGCACTCGCAATTGCCCTCGCCAAGAGTACAGAGAAGTAAACGGAAGCCGGGTTCTATAGGCCTTTCTCGCCTATGCATAGGCAGACAAAGTTGTCATGAGCACAAATAGAACTGGGCCGATAAGTCTGTATGGTTGTAGAGGTCAGATGAATGGCTGGGCAGAATACACGCTAGTCAAGAGACACGATGACACAAGCTGGCATAGCCTTTGACTAATTGTCACATTATTAGTTAAACTAGATTTACTTAAACCCTCGGATATCCTGTATAGATGGAATGAACCAATGCATAAGCATACATAAACATACTAACCGAA